TTTTTCTTCCTGCTTTCCAGAAATGCCAGGAGATAAAAGATTCCAATTCTGCTCCTGCCGTGTTACTATTCCAGCAAGTCAGTTAAATCCTAGGCTTCAACTTCTTTATCTGTTTTAAAGATGTATGCATTTTGTACTGTTAAGACAAACTGTACACAAACAGTAGTGCTAGTAGCTACAGTTCAAATAAGTGGGAAAAAAATGTGAATTCATGAATGTCAAACTATGTTAGATACTATGGTAAAGGTGAGGTTTGGGATAATTGGAGTGGAAAATTTTATGTTCGTTTTTGGTAAATGAACTTCATCTTTTAGAACAGTTTTAGGTTCACAGCAAAGTTGAGAAATAGGGCCCTCCCTGGTGGTACAGCAGGTAAGGATGCAGCACTGCAAGCTAGCTGCAGCTAATTCAGTGTGAGTTCTATCCCCGGCGATAGGGGGATCCTCATGGCACGGCTGACCTCTCCTGGCCCACCTGCTGCTACCCCCCTCCCCAGCAGTCTGCTTCGTAGATCTGCCTGTTCTGCTCCCCACTCTGTCTTTAGTGAGTCCTCTCACCACCACCCCTGTACCTCTGGCTTGCACCCCAGTTCTGTATGCATAAATAAATTTTTTTTGATTGGGAAATAATCCTACTTTTTTAGTTCCTCAGTCATTGCTATTATTCATTTTACCTATATAAAAGCATACATGGTTGAATGCTTTGCTGCTATTATTATTATTTTGAATGAATCTGTTATAACAATATAAAATTTTTAAAATGTACTTTTGAGGTAAAACATATTTTCCCTTATTTGTTCTCTAGTACTCTGGACATCCAAATTCCTGTCCTTTATTATTTTCTTTCTCTTAAGATCTTAATTTTTTATTTTCATTTTTTTAATATTTGTAAGACTACCTTATACTTTAATATTGTAAAGAGTATTTTTTACAAGACTGGCCTACTGGCAACCACCTCTTAATTTTGCTTGCCTGAGAAAGCCTCCATTTTTCTGTCACTTTCGAAAGATAATTTTGCAGTATACAGAATTCTAGATTGGTAGGTTTTACTTTTTCTCCCAGTACTTTAAATGTTTCACTCTACTCTCTTCTTACTTGTGTGGTATCTGAGAAAAGGTCAAATGTATTATATTGCTCCAGTATAGTTAGTTCTCTGACTTCTTTCATGATTTTTTTTTTACTTTCATCTTTGTATTTTGAATATGATAAACATAGGTATCCTATGTTTCTTTATTCTTTATCCTGCTTGATATGCTCTAAGTTTCATAGACCTTTCATTTGGTGTCTGACATTAATTTGGGGAAATTCTCAGTTATTATTGCTTCAAATGTGTCTTTGTTCCTTCTTTCTTTTCAGGTATTCCCACTTTGTGTTCTACTTTTTTGTATTTGCCCACAGTTCTTGGATACTCAGTTCTGGTTTTTCTAGTCTTTTTTTCTTTCCAATATTGAAGAGAACTCCTCAAAACTGTATTGGTCTAGTAGTGAATACATTAAGATTAATCTTTTCTGTTACTGTGTTTTTTATTTCTAGTTTTTCTTTTTAATTTTTTCTTGAATTCCCATCTCTCTCTTTACATTATTCATCTGTTCTTACATGTGTCTGTTTTATCCACTAAAGCCTTTACCCTATCATGTTTTTTTAAGTTCCTGATCTGATAATTCCTGACATGTTTAATACTTTTTCTAATGCTTGTTCAGTCTCTCAAACTAGGTTTCCAACTTTGAGTCTGCCTCATAAATATTTGTTAAGAGGTAGCTATACAAGGAACTGTGATAAATAAATCTATAGTGATGGGGTAGCATGGTATAGAGGGAGGAAGTGTTCTGTAGACCCATGATTCTTGGTCTTTTAGTGAGCTTGTGCTTCTGGACTGTGAACACCACTGTGCTTCTGTGTTTCTGTTTGTTGTTTTGCCCCCTTAAGTGTACAGGCTGGCTCTACAGGGCATAAGTTGGCTAGGGACTAACCTAACCCAGGTTAGGTTAGACTGTGATAAAGCCCTAGTGAATTAATTAGACTCTGGTAAAATAGCTTCTCCTGAGGGTAGGCCCTGCTGAGAAAAAGAAAATATTCCTGCATATTTCAAAATAGTTTCTTTCCTGTGCCAGAAGCAGTTGGAAATTTTGTGCAATATTCACTATAAGAGCCTGGTAGAACTCCTGGAAGTAAGACTTACAATAAGGCTTGGCATTATGACTTGGTCCCTCTGGAGTTCTTAAGTCTCAAGTTTGTCTATCCTGAGCCTCCAGCAATTATCAATTTTTGTTTAGTTTTCCTATTCTGCTGCTGGTTCCTGGGGAGGCTTCTGTTGGTAGATTTTTGTTTTGGGTAGTAGTGATTCTCTAATGCCTGTCTGTTTAGAGGCAAGCAGATTGTCCTGTGATCTTACCTCCTGTCACAGATCAAAGAAGAGTCAGTTTTTCAGGTCAGCTTTTTACCCGTTAGGCCTGAGTGGTAAATTCTCAGCAACTTGTATGCTGGACTGGAAACTAGAACTTGGAAATATTTTATTCCTGTTCTTATTTGTCAGTTTCTAACTAGGGAGAGAGTGGAAAGAGTAGATCATATTTAATACTGCACACAAAGACAATCAGTATTCCTTTGACGTCTCTCTTTCTACCATTTCCATAGAGTGCTTTTCTTCATATAACAACTTGTATAACAAGTAAGTTATACAATTTTGTTTTTGTAAGATCCTCAAACCTAAAACTGAACTAAGGATCTCTTTCGCTAAACTATTTTCATCTCAGATCATTTGGATTATCTCTCTTCTAGCCCCACTCACCAAATGGGAACCTGGAAATGGTCTTTTTCTTCCCACACATCTGTTCAGGACCCCAGATCATGGCAGTTCTGCTTTCTAAATATTTTTGCTTGTTTCATCCTCTTTCTTTTATTAACCACTACTCTGTTCAGAGCATTGACTGGATTTTTTTTTCCCCCTTGAATTCCTATACTACAGAAGCCTCTCTCTAGCCAATTAGGTGATATTAAAATGCATGTTTGACCTTTTGACTTTCTTTGCATATAGCCCTTCAAACCTTTCAATGACTCCTTGTTGCTTTTAGGATAAAACCCATGCTCCTAATCATGGCCTATAGCTCTCTCTGCTGCCTTTCTCCAGATTCATCTCCAGACACTCCCCATCCTTTGCTTTATGTTCCAGTATCAATGAACCACTTACAATTCCACTTTCTAGTCCTCTTTCTGCCACTATCTTCCTGCTGCTTTCTTCTCTGTGTGCCTTGTCAGGGCTTCACTGTTTGAAACAACTTTCTTGTTCACTCTACCTCATCAACTCATTAAGACAGGTCAGCTATTAATGCCTCTCAAGCCTAACTCTAGACATCCTTAGATCTCCCACACTGGTTTCTATATGCAAATCTCTGTCATTTTTCTTCTCTCTTTTCACTTATTTATTCCATCAACTAACCAACAATAGATATGTGTTAGGAAGAATTTTAAACACTAGAATATAGATGATTAAAAGAAAAATTCCTTCTCTATCAAAAGGATGAAGGAAGCTACATAATGAGCAAGTAAAAATACAGTATGCAAGTAGTGATGAATAATTATGATGGAAGATAATGTAGAGAAGGAAGGATGGGATGTTCTGAGGCGGGAGAGTTTAAAAAGAACGTGGTCAGGAAGGGCTCGTGATCACGTGGCCTCTGAGCAGAGGCACCCATGGCCATGAGGGCGCGGGCCCTGCCTTGGTGTGGGACACAGGAGGAGGGGCCGGCCAGTGTGTCGCAGGGTCAGCGAGCAAGGCAGTGGCTTAGACCCAGGTGGGCGAGGGAGGAGAGGTAGATGAGGTTAGAGAGCTGATGACCACGAGGTCGTTAAAGAACGTTCACTCTGAGACTGGAAACTGTGGAGGTTTCTGTGCAAAGTGACAGAATCTGGCTCTATGCTGAAAGAGCATCTGACTGCTGGGGGTGGGTGGGGCGGGGTAGTACTGAGAGAGCTGTTACCAGCTAGGAGATTATGGCACTAATCCAGACAGAATGTAAGGTGGCTTGAACTGGTCAGAGAAGAATCAGTGTAGGTTAAGAAGTATTTGGTTTGGGATATATCTCATATATTTAGAACACCACCAACAGTGTTTATAAAAGATTGAATAAAGTGTATGGCAAAAAAAAAAGTGTAAAAAAAAAAAACAGAACTCAAGAATGAGTTCTGGGTTGTTAGTGTGAACAACTAGAACAATCGAAGTGGGAGGTGAGGGAGGTGGCAGGAGAGTAGACAGGAGAGTACGAAACCGGGACAGCTCTGCTCAGTGTTGAGCGCATGGAGGTCTGAGAGATCTGAGCGGGAGACAGCTCTCGGAAAGCTGCCAGCGTTAGATGAGCTTTCAGATGATGTTTGCGATGAGAGAAGGTGAGAAGCGCGATGAGGAGTCCGGAGCCACTCACTCCACCCCGTAGAGGCCAGAGTGACGAAGCGGACCCCACGTGGGACGGCTCGGTTAGTGAGGGGCGGGAGGCGCAGGAGAGCTGGCCAGGTGGGAAATGTGCTTTAGGAAGCCCGAGTGCGGCGTTGCCGATAAACTTCGTTAGATGAGGACATTCTGTCTGAGGGCTCTGCTCATCTGTTTTTTCGTTGGATGAGAACTTACTTGGAGCCACACAGCGTACAGCAGTGTCCTGACACTCTGAAATCACTTTATTACAGGCATACCAATAAGTGGCTGGTTTTGCTGCGGCCGGTCCTCTCAGTCCCGGGGTCTCACCTGTAAAATGGGGGAGGATATAGTGTCTTCCCTTGAGTAGCTGTGAGGATTCTATGAGGTCATCCAGGTGAAGCACTGGATGATTGCATGTGTTTATGTAATTAAGCACATGATCCTTTTATGATTAATGTTATTAATTTATATTCCTGGCACCATGCCCTTCCCCGTTGAGCGTCATTTTTGGTTTAGTGAATGAATGAATGGTGAGTTGCCTGAAATTTCCCTGTGTGCTCATGAAGCATTAACATCGTGTGTGGGTTCCCTAGGAGCAGACCAGTCTAGTCTGGAAGACACGAAGAAGACGCGTCCTCTGGGCAGAGCTGGCGCAATGGAGCTCCCTAATTACAGCCGGCAGCTGCTGCAGCAGCTCTATACGCTGTGCAAGGAGCAGCAGTTCTGTGACTGCACCATCTCCATTGGCACCATCTACTTCAGGGCCCACAAACTTGTCTTGGCCGCTGCCAGCCTCCTCTTCAAAACCCTGCTGGACAACACAGACACCATCTCCATCGATGCCTCAGTGGTGAGCCCTGAGGAGTTTGCACTCTTGTTAGAAATGATGTACACTGGCAAACTACCTGTGGGCAAGCACAACTTCTCCAAAATCATCTCTTTGGCTGACAGCCTACAGATGTTTGATGTGGCTGTTAGTTGTAAAAACCTCCTGACCAGCCTTGTGAACTGCTCTGTTCAGGGTCAGGTGGTGAGGGATGTCTCCGTGCCCTCCTCAGAGTCACTAAGGAAGGAATCCGAGAAGCCTGAAGTCGAAATCCTTTCCTCTGCGGCGACAGGAGAGCTGCAGTCCTCCCTCGAGGTTTCTGCCCCTCCGGGGATCCCGGTGAAAGCCGAGACTGAGGAACCTGTCCCTGCTGTTGCACAGGAGATGAGTGTGGGTCCTTCCCCGGCCCAGGAGATTCGGGACAGTGCGGGCATGTCAGTGGAGCCCCCTCATCCTGCTGAAGTCTGTGTCCCCGCCCCTGTAACTCGTAAGGAGGCACAGCAGGCAAGCGCAGAGCCAGGTAATGCTCGTCTAACACTTGTTTGGTGACCTCGCCTTCGGCCGTCAGTTACTATTTCACTGATCTTTATGACACTGTTGCCCTGATAAATTCACCAAAGACCACCTGGATATTAAGGCAGAATCCAGTTCGGTACTCCTGCTGGGTCCACCTGTTTTTAACATCTCTTGTGTTTTAGCATGTTGCAGGCTGGAGATGAATTACAGAGCAAAAGAACAGCACTGAAATAATGATGTACCATTTTTGATACTTACACATTATTTTCACCAGGATGAGAATAACACAGAGGAGGAAGATGTCATAGACACTGCTGTCATTACTCGTAACTGATGTATTGATATTAGTTATATCCAGGATGTGACCTAGAGCCTCTCTTACAGCTTGAATTTTTTAAATCCTTTTGTTTTGTTTTGTTTTATATTCAGAATATGAGAGGAAACGCTACCAGCTGAATTTTCTTATAGAAAATGAAGACCTCTTCTCCAGTGTACTCTTGATTACCCAGGATGTTTTAAAAAGACTAGAAGAGTGTTCAGAAATTAAGGGTGCACAGAAGGAGGTAAGTGTCTTGAGTTTTCATATTTTGCTGGGTTAGTGTCCTCAGGCTTTGGTGTCAGCTTCCCAGATAGGGCAGAAATATGGAAATATCCCAGGATCTCAGTTTTTAAAAAAAAATTTTATTTTATTTTTGACACCTACTGCCCCAAAAGACAGCCTTACAAAAATACAAGGCAAGGTACTTTCAAAAGGATGTTATATTTTGGTTGCCAAATGAATGATTAACTGATCCAAATGGAACAGAAGGTAGTTGTCGATAATCCTAAATCAGAGAATAAATAATAAAACAAAACAGCAAATATTGAAAGCAAGGTACCAAAAGCATTTACTATGTAGTTTGCTGGGTTTCAGCAAACTGTGGATGTTTTCAGACATAAAAACAATGCCAGTGAACATTTTTTGAGTCCTCATCCTACCAGAAGTGATATTTACATCATTTAATCCTCACAGAACTCAAGGTGATACGGTTTGACTCCGCTCAGTCTGGCTATCACTGAGAAGGAGGTGACGTGCCACGGCCAGGGTTGCAGAGCCCTGGGTCTCCCAGCAGGAATGCAGCCAGGCATTCTGACTCGAGAGTCCTCTGACATGCTGAGTTATATTGTCTCCCACAGGGCAGAATGACACGTGCGTGACCTATGTGTATAAACTGATGAAAAATCGCTGGACGGTTATCATGCGGTATTTCTCAGCTGACCTTTCATTTTTCATTATCTCAGTGCGGTTTATTCCCACCTAGGGGCTCCCTCACACCAGAGTCTGCACGACCGCCTCCACCACTACTTCAGAACTCACCTCGTTTTCCCTTCCCCCAGCCAGGTCGCCTGTTCTCCCAGCTTGCTGGTGCAGTGGGGAACACTGTCCTGCAACCTGGCTCTTCTGGTCATGGGACCATATGGCCTGTCTCCAGTGTTGCTGAAGGCAGTTTCATGTCTTCTGATGCTGTTGACTCAATCAGTAAATGGCCTTTAACATTTCAGTGTTTCTTTTATTCATAGCTACTTACTTTTATAAAAAAAAAAAAAAAACAACTAAATTCAAGGTATTTTGACCACAGTTAATCTCTGTTAGCTATTAAGTGTTATCTTGGGAGATGAGCTATATACAAAGCTGATGATTCTCTTAGGGGGGGCTTCAAATTTTAAATGTGATACAGAAAGTGCTTACTTAACATGGTCGTTGATAGGTTCTTGGAAACTGTAGGTTTAAGCAAAAGGACATGTAACGAAACCACTTCTACCATAAGCTGATGTAAACAGGCATCAAGTTCCAATTGCGTATTTCTGGTTACAGAAGCATCAGTAAACTTCATAAAACTCTATAACTCTTCTACTATTAAATAATAGCTTATATTCATTCGTTCATTTTTCCAACCTCCTTTTCCAGCGTGGGGTCGCAGGCAGCCAGAGCCCCTCCTGGCAGCTCAGTGGGCAGGAGCTCACAGTGGCCCGGCGCCCTCCCAGCACAGGGCGCGCATACGCTCACTTACGCTGGGGCGTTTTCAACACACCAGTGCACACATCTGCCTGAGAACCAGGGAACACCCACATTGACCTGGGAGAGCCACAGGCGCGACCCGGAGGGCGAATTGCTTCCATAGTGGAATGAGGGTGTGTGAGGCCGGCTGCACCTTTGTGCTGTCTGTGCTGAAGGATGAGTGGTTTTATATTTTTGCACTTGGGTGTCCACTAAACTGTTCAGTCCATCGCTTTTGTTTCTGGTTATCTTGATAGCCCATGGACACACCTCTCATTTCTCTTAGGGCTTGCTTTCCATTTGGCTTTGGTCACAGAGCTGCACCACTGACCCTAGGCCAGCAGTACCTAAGTGATTCCTGCCACAGCTTTCTTACTTGGACTGTGTCTTACTGTGTTTTTTTCTAACACTGGTGCCTAAAAGTGTCAATACATAGTAGGTGCAAGAAATGTTTGCTGTATATGGATTCATTCAACATAGAGTTTTATTTTCCCCAGTTCTTGTCCTAAGCCTTGGATGGCAGTCACTTTAATAGTACTTTGAAAGAACATTGATTCACTCTTGGTGGTCATTATAGGTTTATGTTATTTCTTCCTCGGTTTTAGAGGTCAGAGTAAGACATCTGCAAATTATGCAGTGACTGTTATAGTCCATAATAAATCTTTTCTGCTGCAAAAAGAAAAGGAGGAAAGATCCTTTAAGAACATCAGAATGCGTTCAACAAAATTGAGTTGGGAGGTCTACTGTGTGCTGAGGTCCTGTGCCGTCTTTCTGTTAGACAGTTTTATTGAGGTATGATTGACGTACAGTAGACTGTACATATTTAAAGTGTACAGTTTGATGAGTTTTGAAACCTGAAGCTGTCACTACAATCAAGATAGTGAACACATCCATCACCTCCAGAAGTTTCTTCCTGTCCCTTTGTAGTCTCCCTCCTATCCCTTTCTACTCCTCCATCCCCAGGTAACGGGGATCTGCTTTCTATCTCCGTAGATCAATTTGCATTTTCTAGAGTATTATATAAATGGAACCACAGAGTGCATATTCTTTCGGGCCTGGCTTCTTTCACTCAGCTAACTGCACAGCCTGTGTCGTGACATGCTCACTCTGATTTATTGCTGAGCAATGTTCCATCTGAGGAGATAGAATTTATTTGTCCAGCTCTGCATTTACTAGCACTGTGACCTAGAACAACTTAATCTCTGTAAACCTTATTTGTAAAGCAGGAATGTTATGACCTATATCAGAGTCACTGTGAAATTATTAAGATTATTTATGTAAACCTTGCAGTAAAATGCCAGGCACATAGAAGGAGCTCAGTAGATAGCAACTGCTATTGCTTTTACATTAACTCGGTATTTTTAGACTTGACCTTGAAACCCCCTTTGCACTTAAAGTCTTATAATATCCTCGTGCCTTGGCCATTTTCTCTGACACATGAGGTGGCTTGCTGTTACTTTAAGCTTAATTTGGAAGTAAAGCTTTCCAGTAAGCTACTACTACCCATTTGGAAGGACCTTCCTTAACTGCAGGTATCGCGTCCTGTACAAAGCCATCCATCTCTGGAACAGTGGTGCAGGGCATGCAGAGTCGTCCGGGGCACTTGTTAAATGTACACCACTAGCCTCTTTTCCAGAGAGTCTGATTCTTAGGTTGTGGCAGAGCTTGGCAATCTCCATCTTTAACTAGTTCCCCATGAGCTACTGTTTTGGTACCTGTAGGTGTTTGAGAAGTGCTCCTAGAGAAGTCAGAGGCTTATGAAATCCTTTGTGTAAGATGCAGCTATCCCATGTCTGTGCTGACACTGGCAGTGCTATGGCGTCATTGAATATGCATTTTGCCAAGCATGGCTCTTCACTTACCTTCAGTTCTACAGGTGCTTACTGAGCAGCTGGTATGTGCCGGCATTGACCTGTTTGCTAGGGAACTAAACATAAGTAAGCCTGGTTCCTTATCCTTACAGAGGATCTTACCGCGAGGAAATCCTGCCACATGTATACTGTTTTAGGGGAACTATGCTATGAGTCACCAGTTACAGAAATCACCAAAAGGCCTCAGTATGGAGAGCTTTTAATAGTTGTTCCCTGCAGCATCATTCTATATTTCTATTGCAGTTGCTAAGCTTATTTTGGGGTTTGGGTTTTCAGTTATGCATTCTGAGCTCCCAAAGACCTTTGAAGTTGTTGGTTGTCTCTGGTTAATTGTAACATACCTGAAACCTTAAACATTGCTTAACATTAAACATATATTTCTTTTTTTTTTTTTTTTAAATTTTTTTAAAGATTTATTTATTTGTGCATACAGCACTAGGGTACAGGCCAGAGGTGCAGGGGTGGTGAGACGATTCACCAGAGACAGAGAGGGGAGCAGAATAAGCAGATTGATGAAGTACACTGCTGAGGGGAGCAGCAGGCGATACTGGAGAGGTCTA